AACCCTTCTTTATTGACACGAACTCTAACATGTATCTAAATGCTTCAATGACAGGGGAAAGGAAATCTATAAGCGAAATAAAACAGAATTGTGCTTTTTGTAGATAAACTTGGGTAATATTAGGCAAGAGAGGAGATCCACATGTAGTTGTGGCACGAATAGCGATTAGAAGCCGTTTGATACGTGTGCTCATATCTATAAAGAAGGGTTGTAAAGTACTTAAATACGGGTTCTTGACTAAAGTGTCAAAAAGATAGTCCATAAAGTTTTGTAAAGTGCATAAAACAGGCGAAATTATGTAAGAAGCCAAGGGAAGCCCAAAGGTATCCCTTAAGAGGCCAAAAAACGAAGTATAAGTTGTCAAAAGAAAAGGATAATTTATCAGGAAACCTTTCACAAAAAGCTCTTCTATAAATGTAATTATCTGGTAGAAATAAGACGAAAATATATTCGGCATCGGAAACTTAATGATATGGTTAACAGGGAAAGGCAACCGGTCTAAAATTACAGGAATCTCAGGAGAATAGTTCCATCCGTAAAAGTAGACATATTTAAGCGAAGGAAAAATAGACGTGTTGTTCAAAGATTTAGTCATCACAGCGTCAAGCATGTCACAGAAAGGCGCATTATTGAATCCAGGACGCAGTAGAGTGGAAACACCGAAAATACTTGTATAAAACCTACAGAAACACTCCATATGGATAAACACGAGGAAGAAATACCAGACTGTTGGCCAAAAACGGGTCAATACAAACACATAAAGCTGCTTAAGAAGATGCTTTAGGATGCGTAAGATGCTCACACGAGATAGCGTGCATGTAAAGATGGAATGTTTAATTGAGCATATGGTCTTATATGATGGCATAATGGATGGAATGCATGAAGTAAATAGGGAGAAGCCGTTGAAAAAATCAACCAAGGTTTTATGGATACAAAAGATGTTCTTTGTAAAGGCCAAAATGCCAATCACATTGCGATCTGCATCCTTTTTTTCAGATGAAACGTCTGTATTATCAACAGGGCGCTCCATCTGTAGCCCTTTATGTTTTTTGTTGGTGAGAATGTTGGCGACGCCAGGAATGTGTTGAGATTGGACCTTTCTTAGATCTAAGTCTGGATTTGATGTCCGATTTTGAGTTTTTAAGGCAGTATTGCTATCACAAAAGCAGCCATTGATACTAGCCACTGCCAACTCGAGAAACAGAAGTTGTTTTTGGAGCTTACTCATAAAAAATTTAAAGGCCAATCAAAAGCGTAGTTTAATCCTAATCGGTATCACACACAATTTTAATTAATGTCAAATTATTTAATATCATGCGCTGAGTTTGTTAACCCAAAGCTTTACAAACACATTGAGGTACTGCCAATTAATAAAACAAATTTATTAAATACAATGCGGCCCCAATTCAATCAACCAAACCAAGACAACCCAAACACCAATACAATCACAACAGCCCTGTTTCTTTGAGCGCCCTACTGAGAATTGCTTCCTTAATGGCGGCAAACACGGTTTCTATTTGCCGGGTATCTGTGGCACAGGTAAAATGCGTATATATTGGCAAGCCAGAATGGTTTAAAGCAAGAAACTTTGTCTGGATAAAGGTGGCTGCATGCTCAAAGTCATTTGGAGGCCCGTCATAATCTTCAAAGTAGCTTGAAAGAGGAGAAACTGCAAGCTTGTTCTTGAATAAATCAATCTTATTCAAAAATAAAATGATAATCGTGTTTTTGAACCACTGGGAGTTGACAATGCTCTCAAATAGCAAGAGGGAGTCTAAAAATCTGGATTGAGAGGGATCTTCTAGCAACACCTGGTCATATTCCGAAAGCGACACGCAAAACAGGATCGCTGTTACGGATTCAAAACAGTGGATCCACTTTTTCCTTTCCGAGATTTGGCCCCCAACATCGATCATACATACAGAGGGGGAGTAGTGGCCAGATCTGATTCTAAAGCGTGTTTCTGAAATGCCTGTTGTCTTGATTCGTGCGCGGAGCACATCTTGAATGGTGGGGATATATCCCGGCATCGCTATCCGTTCAACATTATCCAGAAAGTAAGGGGCTTGGCATAGGATATAGCTCGAATGCGCAAGCTTGTCAAAATGCTTTCGCAACCCAGTCGTCCGCCAAAGCAACTTTATTGCATCGGCCATCGGCCGATCAATGAGATCCCAGTTTCTTCCATTTGCTGCTGAGAGGACAGAGGCCGATGATGGAGGGGGAGTGCCTCCATTGCTACCTATTCCAATTCGGTCGCAAGCGGAGGTCTGCGCGCGCAGTATGAGGGCGACTGCATTTTGAAAAGCAATCTTTTCCTCCATCGAATATTTACGTCGATGAAAAAAAGGCGACACATCCAGCCGATCAAGGTCACAAATGTCAATAGACAAGCTGGAAAGAGAGGCCAAAAGCTGTTGGATGGATTCCAGAAGATTGCGATGAATATCCCTCCTAAAGGCCAGTAGCTCTGTCTTGTGATATCCGTTATTATGAATCACCTTCATTTGCTTCATAATTGTGGACTTTCCAGACTCGCCGGTTCCGAGAAGAAGAAGTTTTATTTCCATTTCAGATATGATCCGATCTGCCTGCAGCTTCCTGTCGATCTTAGCGGACAACATCTTGGCTTCTTTTGAGTTGTATTCAGCGATCGATTTCCAGGGTGGCGAGGCTGTTTTTTTTGGCATCATTATGGGCTTCTGCGTACACGCATGATGATGCATGTCACTCTCCCCTTTACGATTATGGCAAACCTTACCAAAAAAAATATTAAAGAGCTTCTCAAAACACATCAATCAAATGCAACTATTAGACGGCCCAATCGCTATGGCTGCTTTCGGTGTAAAACAGAACAGGGCTCCAAATCGAGACTAAAGCCTTTGGCGTTTTAAACTGATATTTATTTTTTGTAGCCAATAGAATTTAGACGTGCAAAAAGCAATATTCTAATTTGACTTAGCAGATGGCTATACAAGCCAATGAGACATGCCAGGCAATCTAAAATAAATTTCTTTAATTAATTGCTTTTATTGTCCAAAAAGCCTTTTTTACGCTCAAATAAATAATGGTAAAAGCGATGTCTAAAATGGGCAATCTCCGGAGGGATTGCCAGAACCAGACAAAGCAGTCTTCTGATTTCCGAATCTACCTCTGTGCCCTGATCTCCGTTCAGGCGGATGTGAAGATCCTTGGCTGTCTTCCTAACGTCTTGGATTGTAGGACATTTGATAAGAAAATCATCAGTTAACGCTTGAATGATTTCTTTCTTTACAGGGACGTTCATGGCTGATAGTAAATCTAAAATAATAAGCGAGTTTTCCTCGTTTGTCGGGAAAGGTCTTCCACATGTCCTCTTTTCAAAGTCTCTTATAAACTGGCTCCAAATAGGCAAGAGCGATTGTAATTCTTCAAGAATCTCCAGATCGGAAAGAAATCGCTTGTGGTATACTTTGATATTGCTGCTGTCTCCGTGCTTCCCTTTTTGCAAATCTTTTCGCTTGAGGCCATTATAGCCGTGCAGCCATTTCTTGCTAATCTCAAAAACCTCGTTCATCCTCAGAAGAAGGAGATGGGAGCAAAGAAGAACGGCCACCGAGTGAAAGTGCAGCGTTTCAATTGAAATCAGCTCTCTAAAGTCAGCATAGAAGCGAGACATGGGTGCATGGAGCCCCGTTCGGATCATGAATACTTTAGTAAAGCAGGAAAAAAGTAGATCCCAAAGCAACGGAGGCGGGCTTTCTGGTCCTCCATTAGTAGAAAGCCTCTGTACGCTCTTTGCAGGCAATCCCAGCGCAAGCAAAATGTCTTTCTCGGCTACATTGTGTCTAGTCCGCCTCGTTGGTCCGAATGAAGGACCATTGCCAGTTGGATGGTGGTGGTGATGATCGTTGCCGGTCAGGACTACACTTTGCCATTCCTCACTTCCATAGTAATTTAAAAGCTCAGCAGCATCAAAATCGCCAATAAAGTTCAGATGTTTCTGAAACTGTGTGATGTACAAATTTTTTCCGCCTCCACCTCCAAGCCATTGTGTTTTTAGCTCCGGGTCGACCGATCTTAAAAGATTCAAAAGCTTTATAAAGGGTAGTTTGATGCCCACCATGGAGCGTGGAACGGCTTGATATAGCAGAGCTCGTATAAGCGATTGTCGATGAATGGGACTGTCACAAAGCAACTCTAGGGTTCGACTAGCATCAAGAAGATGGATCAGGGAAATTGGCGATTCGCCAAGCATAAGATCATGGTACCGATGTGTATTGGATACCCCTAATTGGTGATTATCAAATTTATGAGGCTCCTCCGTTTTAGGAGGACTGGATTTCTGTTGCAAAAACTCTGAATTTTCAAGTAGCGCGAGAGCCTGGACCAAATGGTCAAAAATGACCGGATTTGGAAGGGGATCAATTTTAAACTTGTCACAAAATTCACAAAATACCTTCACAGCGCCAATACGAACATAGGGAGCAACGCTTCGCAGGTTTTCAAGCGGAGCGCTGGCAATGGTATCCGGCAACAGATGCTGTCCAAGCTCGAGTAGGAAGTCTTTCATTCCCTTCACGTCCTCTACATGTAAAAGAGCGTTGATTGTAAGCCGGGTCAGCCGTGAACAGAATCTCTCATCAGGAGGAATCCGAATAGGAGCACTGGGTTTCTTGTAGAGCAAATAGTAGTCGCCTAAAAGAGCAAGACCATACCAGTTATGAAAATACTCGCCCGCAAGCTCGATGATACGTCGAAACTTTCCGCTGCTTTGCAACTGCGAAAGATTCTGAAGAGCCACTGTTTTCGAAAGGACTGTGGACGACTCGCGAAGAGCTTTTTCGCTTTCAATTAATAACCTACTCAAACCCTCCGCATGGGAAGAATGTGGCGGGGTAACTAAAAGGGCTTGCTTCAAGACAACTTCCATCACTTGTGGAGTCAACAAGATGGATGGAATGAATTCCATGGCAGGAATCAATATTGAGGTCACAGCCTGGGCATTATAGGTTGCTCTTTTTAGGAGAAAAGATAAAATCGTATTGTCTATTTCGGCTAGTGAGATCGTGGCGAGAAAATTCCTCACTCGGGCAATGTGATTTTTCATAAAAGAGCTGCAAACTCCAGCTGAAATGTAATGTGTCCGAATATTTTCGGCTAGCTTTTCGGAACCTTTACACAAAAAGGGCAAATAAACGCTTCCCAAAACAGATTGTTTATCATTCAAAACGAGCACGCGAAGAATCTTCAATTTTTCTTCAATCGAGACCTCGCTAAATGGCCTCATCCTATCGTAAATATCCAAGGCGAAGCACGCAACTGCTGAAATTGATATGAAGCAGGACAAAGAATCGATGACCTTGCTACATGTCCCTATGGAGTTCATCTTTGATGCGTCTGAATAAAGTTGTAAGATGTTAAATAAGCGGACATAATTCGATTCATGCGTCTTTTGTAAATTGAGGGACTGGAATGCCGTATATGACGGATTTAAACTATTTTTTCTAGCTGATGAATAGATCCTCCGGGAAGCCCCGCCAGACACAGCTGAAATGGCCGTAAAAAGAGTCCAAGACTGGAGTAACGTGTGGTGGACTCCTATTAAATTCATTAAACAATTAATTTTTTATTGAAACGTTAAATATTGAAAAGCTGGTGCGCATGTATGGCACACACAGGCATCCTCAAAATGGTGGCTAGGCAGCAGGATTCCTTGAAATGAAGTTTACATTAATTATTAAAGCTATAGTTCCAGCTGCCACAAAAAGCACGGAATATATGCAGCTGAAAACAATGGCTTTTAGCAATCCAAAGATGGAGATGAGAGAAGAAGACGTCTCTCCGTATTGTATAAGCGAATTAGCATATGCAGTAGTACCAATGAAAAAGAGAAGAGGAACGATAATCAAAAAGGGAACAGTGGCAATATTTCCAGCTATCCTGGCAGTTAATGAATCTCCAACACCATTGCTTATGTCTGAGATCAGGCTCACGATGGCGGAAGGTCTATAGAGGCCGAGTTGCTTGGATATAAAGTAAGCGCTTGCTGAGATTCCGATGCCACTCATAATCGAAATTACAAGGTAGGATGAAAGGCGTGACAGTCCAAAGTTCCACCACAAGGCAAAGTAAAGAATTCCAATAGTACCAAGAGTCAACGACACCTGTGGCACCATCAAGGCCCCAGAGAGTTGTCTAAAAACCGCGGATGAAATAAAAGGGATGATACCCAAGATACCATGACTGCGCAACATTCTAGCATGTCTTAGCGCTCTTACCTTGTGAATTTTGTACGCAAAAAAGGATATAATAGCTACTGCTGTAATAGAACTACCTATAACGATCACATTCCTCACAAGGGGTTTTCTATCATCTGGTATCAGCGCTGGAAGGGGAAGCGAGTCTCTAATCGTATTTGAGACATTAAAAAAAGAAGATGTTCCGTTAGCCGCAAGTCCTACCACGTAAGATGTAGCATTTGACAGCGAAGATAGCGGTTTCATTTCTTGTAAGTCTCCGGTCTGAACAGCTGACTTTGTAGTCGTTGAGGCCAATGTTGAAGGGGATGAATCGATCGGGACATAAATATATAGGATAACCGCAATCACAGCAAAAGCAGCAAGCGAAATTACAGAAGCAAAGATGCGTTTAGATTTAGGTGTCATTTCAGTTAACAAACTTGAGAAAGCTAAAATTTAGACCATTTAATGAAGTATATTTACTAATAGGTGCGAATATTTTACATTGATTTTGATTGGACTAGGAGTCATTTTATGATGTTTCCTGAACCGATAATCCAATGGTATCGAACGGTGTACCCTGAATGTTCTGATCCTATTGCTTTGCTTATTAATGCCGTTTTATTTCGGCCACCTGCTCTTACGACAATCAGAGTAGATCTGAGCAAATACGTCTCGCTCAACTCAGCATTGGATGAAGTGCGTTCTGAGTTAAAATCCTTACATCAAAGCCTTGTCGATATGACAGATATTGGGGTTTCAGGCTTTATTTCCAAATTTGATGCATGGATTGATGCAGAGAAATTTCCAGAAGTGATTTTTATCTGCACCCGAACACCAGCTGCAGAGGTTCAATGTGATCTCCCAAATGTGATTGTCGATAAGCATACAGGTCAGGCTGTATGTAGGGGAGCTAATGTTTATGCCCCCGGAATTATTACGGCCGATAGTTTTTGCCGCTATAATTCACAAAGGAACCTGGTAAATGTGTTTGTAGAGAAAACATCTCATTTTTTAGTTGGAGAGCGGGTTCGTTCGCTGGAAAACTTGGTTTTCCTTGGCCTCGGTATCCCAGCTACTCCATCAAGAGAGGCTATTATGAAGCTAAAATTGGAAAAGACAAGAAATGGCGTTCCGGCTGTCCAAATGCTGACAGCTTTATTTCCCATAACATCTCGGTCTTCTCACTTTTATCTTCAGAATCTTCCTTCCATAGTTACCTCAAGAGTCCTCTTTAATGCATGCAAGCGACGGGATGGAAGGGTTTTAGATGCTTGTTCTGGCTACGGGGGTAAAACCAAACACCTATCTGAGTTATTCCCGAAAGCTCAAATAGTAGCTGTTGAGCATTCCCGTCCAAAAGTAGAGGCGTGCGAAAATCTACTTCAATCCTCAAATTGCACGAACATCACGGTTATCAAGGGAGATGTGGTCAAGTTATCTCAGGATCCGTTTGATGCAATTCTATTAGACCCTCCGTGTTCTGGAATTGGGCAGCGACCTATTTTTTCCTCCGAATCAATTGAAAATTCGTCTGCCCCATGGAGAGGCGAAAACTTTTCCTCATATCAGAAGCGTCTTTTGAAAAGTGTCTGTGACATGTTAATCGTTGGATCTCCACTTGTTTATTCTACATGCACGCTTTCTCCCGCTGAAAATGAAGAGGTCGTGTCCTGGGCACTTTCCAATCTACCGCTTTGTCTGGAAGAAATTTGCGTTCCACTTCAAGTAAGAAGAGGTATTCCAGAGCCTTACACTTCACTCTCTTTTGAGTATGCACAAAAGTGTGTTAGATTTGTCCCTGAAATTGATTATGACCCTAGTGAAAAGCACATGCTAATGATGGATTCTATTGCCTTCTTCATTGCATGTTTTATCAAAAGGGAGCCGTTGTAATCATTAATAATCTGCATCTAGAATAAACAAG